TCCTTAAACCTGCAGTTTTCATTGCACGTCTTAAATGTGCATGAAGGAATTAAACTGCACGAGTGAATAACAGCATTAGTTTCAATTAATTTTTATCCTGGCAACAATAAACTTTAGAAACAAAGCGCTTTTACATCCTTAATTAGCCTTGCTTCCCATCTGTAGTCTTTTAAGTGCCTGCTTCTTGATTTAACTTTGTCCCTCCTTCAGAGCCGCCTCCTTTTTCATTCTTTTCCCTTTTTTCTCGTTATCCCTTCCAGACTGCTGCCTGCTTCTTTCCTGCAACCTTTCACCTCCCTTGTCCCTATCTGTCTGCTCTGCTCTGTGCAGTTTATTTCTACTGTATTTTCCCAACATCAACAGCAGTATTGGTTACCATGGCCCCGAGCTATGTGCAGAGGTGGGAAAGCTTCATCCGCCCAAAAGTTCTTACACTTTTGAAGTCTTTCTTTTAGTAGGATCTGAAATGTATCATCTAGAGTGTGTATTAAATGAACAGTATTCCTGAAGGCTTTAGAGCAAGAAAGGCAACACCCTGGAAAATTCTGCAGTCTTTCAGCATTCTCTGCCCTAGGGTTATAGCCCTGGGCACGGAGCTGAATGGAGCTCTTACAACTGCCTTCTGTTTACCTTTTATGGTTAAAATAACAGCTTAGCAAAGAAGCAACTTCATGGAGAAACGATTCAGTGAAATCATCTCAAGCTGTAGCAGCATAGCTAGTTTAATCACCCCTAGAGAGCTGAACAACTGTGAGCACAATGGGACACAAAATCATTTTGTGTGTAAATGAGCATGGCATTGTGATTATTTCACTTTGCATGGGCAAATAGTTTTTACAAGCAGTACTTATGCAGTTAGCTTAGAAAGGCAGAAAAAGATAAGCTGGCTCTGGAAGATCTTGGTGTGTAATGTTTGAAAAACTAAATATTCAGATAATTTGGGAATCAGGCTCTATTGATTTTGCCTTCAGCAGGTTCCTGTGTTACTTACTAGAGCAGGGTTATTGCCTGTGCCACTGGTTGGGATGCTGTATCCTGTTGTAGGCAACTAAAGAGCAAGGATTATTTTACATGGTTTAATAAATGAAGTTTGTTAGTGTTTCTGCGATATTTACCCTTAAGGTTTTAATTTTCACATCAGTATTAGAAAATATGTGCATAAAGACTTTCACTGGATAAATACATTTAGGATTTTGCTTTGTGCATAAAATAAGTACATTACTCAGTGTGATGAATTTTCGCTGCATTTTACATTAAGCAGAGGAAGGAGTCATTAGAAATAGGGTTACGGTACCTTAAGAAATAGGGGGTATTTATTTTTTTTGAGCAATAGGAGTGTTTTCAGTGCCCTTTATGTAGTGCTTAACAATTATGCCTCTTGATAATTTGCTCATACAAAAATGATTGAATTCTGCAACTTTAGTAAAAATGTAGGATTCATTTTTTTAATAGGAATCCTCTCCAACCGGGGGAAAAGCCCGTGTTTTAATTCCCCTTCTCCTCCCCTCCCCCAAAAAGCCAGTGGCACCCTCAGTAAGTATGAAAAGCCATAAAAGTTTGAGAACTATTTTAGCTTTCCAGTGATTTTCTATAATTAAGTGTTTTTTCAACACATGCTCTAGCTGAGAGATGCCAAAAGCAGAGGATTGTTCAAAAGGTCCCTCCAGTGAATAGTATAAATTAAATATCTACTGTGTGAGTATGGCCTCACTGAGAATCTCAGACTCTTTACAGATCAAGGAATTTACTGGTATACTAACATTAAACAAAATCCTAAGATAGCAGCAGTGTTTAAATATGCACAAATAGATTCAGATCACTTGATCTTTAGCTATCTGTGCATATTTTAAAATTGAAGTCTGTATTTCAAGACAAATGGTTAAATGTAAGACGCGTTTACAGAGGACTGGAAGTCCTTTGATTTCATTTGGAAATTGTAGCAAGGGGTGCAGATGAGCCCTAATTAGGCACTTGTTTTGTGAAACTGCGTGAGATTTATTTCTAAGGCAGCTCTGTTCCGTGCGAGGTCTGTACCTTTATCATTAGTGATAGTAGTTGGGGTCTGAACAAAGGCTGGGTTGACATTCAGCCTGGATCTTCTGACCCTTTCATTTAAGTGAAGGAGTAGAGAGTGAACATGAGTTTACAGTGCTCTTTGGTAAGAAAAAAAAAAAAATCTTTGTGTTGGCAGACAGATGAGACACCCACAGATCAGTAAACACGTCGCTAAAATACTGTAGGTACTTACATATTAAGTTGTTTTTAAAAGTTAGTTCTTTTATTTATGCTATATGACATATTTACTGAAGATTGCCCACAACAGGCTCTTGTGGGAAACAAGAAAGCAACGTCTTCAGTCATGAAAGGATTCAATCACTTTCCTTGAAGGTGGTGCTGTAGTAAAAATGTTAATGCCCAATTTTGCATCGGCTGACACAGAAGTCCTAGGACAGAGTTGGTATTTGCTTCGTGTTCAGCGCAGATGTCTGTCCAGCCTCCGAAGAGAAAAGGATGTGGATTCATAATGGGGTGATGTATTTCTGTGCTGTAGATGCAGGAAATTCTTAGGAGCTAACCAAGATGATATACAGTAAATGGAGATGTTGTGATGACTTTGTGAAGCTGTCCAGATGTATTAAGATTTTTCAATCCCTTTCTATATAGCTCAGAATTTTTTTTTTTTCAAAGAATGTCGCTAATTGCATGTTCATCGAGTGGCGTAGCCAGGCATCTTGTGCAAAATACTGCTAAGAGGAAGGCGAGACCAGCTTTAGATTTCTAAGAAACATTGTCAAAGTAATGTGAGAGAAATGGGAATTCACTTTGCAATGCTGCATGTAAAGCGCTTGTCAGATGTAAGGAAGAGCCTGGATGCTTGGTAGCATGCTTACAGAACAAAATACCAAGAAAATTAGATTATATTCAGAAATGTCTTCAGCTATAATGTTTTGCATATGTTGCTTCACCCATGAGGGAGAGACTGGATGGACATTTTCTTAAACTTTTATAGAAGGGTTTTTTTCCGTTTGACATGTTTGCCGTCTGTACCGATTTAACTGAAATCAGCTTTGAGACACACGTTTCATGCAGAATAAGCTGTGCTTTTCTTACAGAAGAGAATTGAGGAATTTTCTTTTGCTATGGTTGTCCTGTTAATCTTTAAGACGTTTCAGTATTTTTTTGCTTTGTATGTCAGCTGGAGATTGTTGGACTCAATTCAGAAATTTCACTATTTTCAGATATTTTTAGGACAGTTAACGTTAGGTGGATAGTTGAATTTGTAATTTCACATGCCAGATTGTAATTTCTAACGCGTCTTGTCATGAAAGCATGGGTCAGTTTATGTATCTTCCTGTTTTCACTGCTTCCAGGTATTAATTGCTTTCAGTTTGAAAGCTTATTAATAAGTTCTTTATGTCTAATATTAAGGCTTAACTGTAAATTATCCATTTATTTCACAATTATTGAAAATAAACCAGAAAATTGATCTTAGTTTGATGTGAAATTTACTACATGTATAAACTAAATGCCTTAGGTACTGAGGAAGTGACTAATTTAGAGGTGTCTCGTTACTGAGACAAACTTGCAAAAACCCCTGAATCCCAATTCACAAATTGGTTATTCGTTTGTCAGGGGATATTTCACATCTAACACATAAGCCCGCGACCTTTAATTAGAATTTTGCAGTTTGTTTTATGCCCCTTGAGGCTGACACCTTGAAAATTTTTTTTCTTGATTTCTTATTGCTAATAAGCATCTTTCTCTTCCCCTCTGGTACTTTGAAGAAAATGATGCAAATACACTTAATTACAGTGGTGGCAATAATTTGTTAGCTGAATATGTGATCAGGCAGATGCAAAAATGATCTGATTAGATCTGTGATCACACTGGAAAGAAAGGTAACACACTGCTACATTTAAGAGAAACTGTTCTTTTTTGCCTTCTCTTTGCAGGAGGGAAGAAGCATGTCCCGTCTGTCTCTAACACGGTCCCCAGTTTCTCCTCTGGCTGCTCAAGGAATTCCTCTCCCAGCTCAACTCACCAAGTCGAACGCTCCCGTGCACATCGATGTAGGAGGACACATGTACACCAGCAGCCTGGCTACCTTGACAAAATATCCAGATTCCAGGTAAGACCTTGGTGTTTTCAGGCTTCACTGCCCATTTATGTTCATTGCATGGAAAGAGGCATGCACCTGTGAGGAATATTTCAATGTGAAATACGATTTATTATATATTCACCAGTTATGAATAATTCAGTTTCCGATTTATACAGTAACTTCACTGGGGTTCTACAGAAAAAAAAGCCTGTAAAATTTATGTATTATTTAGAGAGTCTATTCATTTTCTCTCTCAACATCTTCTGTCCTCTGCCGATACATTTGAAGCACCTGTTGGTGTGCTGCCCTAGATTATTTCCAACTGTACCAAGCAACTTCTTTCTTTCAGATTTAGGGGGGGAGAAAAAAAGGCTTTTTTTCTGCCGTAAGAGAACAGAACGGCTCTGTTACACTGGGACTAATGGATGCTTCTGTCGGCCAGCCAAAATCCTAACCTCAAGTGGTAGCTGTGTGCCTCAGTGTCAGCAGTCATTTTCCTTGGGCAGTGGCTGGCTGACCTGCTCTGTCTGCTTGCAGCTGCAGATTGGGTTGAATCTTTGCATGCTTAAAGGTAGCTGATTTGTGCTGGACAGGTTGGTGACATGTCTGGCAGGGCTTACTTATATCTGGCCAGTATTATCGCAGAGTAGACTCCAGATAATGCCAAATTACAAATAGATGTGGCATGAGAGTATATTTGTGTGTATGACATAGAGTGTCTTTATGATTTGCCCGGCTCCCAGTCCCATGGGGTACTGGGCACCGCAAAGGATGGGGATCCTGGGTGGCATCAGGCCTATGATGGTAGTGTGGAAGGGACCACTCTGTTAACCAATTCAGCTTTTTGTCATTCAGACTGCTTATTTTTCAGGAGGGTAAGTGCCTCATGTAACTAAGAGAAGGTGTGGATGTGCAGTGTCAGGGTGCCTGGCAGACTGGTTAAAGGAGGCACCATTGACTCAAAAGCAAACCAGAGCCCTGGTCAGCAGTTTTCGTTGCCAGAGAGGTTTTGCTGCCTGCGTGGCCGCTATTTCCATAAGGGATAGATTTATTTTTTTTAGTATGACAACCAATGTAAAGCTCTAGTTTCATTTGAAGATTTTTCCTTTAAAAGAACTAGGGATTTTTGCACAGATTTGGCAGGTTCCCAAGCAATAAATGACATTTATGGAGACACCTTGAAACGCCTCTGATGTCATAAAGCATATGGCCATGATTTCATTCCAAGGAAAGGGAGCTGTTGAAATTCTCTCTGGAAAAGAAACAATTATTAGAATATCTATATTTTATGGTCAGGCCAAAACAATGTAATTTTTCTGGACAGTGTCTGTTTAATGATGTCTGTGTGGTACTACTTTAATCATAGAGAAGAAATCTGTTCAGTGGGGAGAGATTTATAACAGAGAAGCAGACAAATGCTTCATAGTGTAAAAAAAATACAGAGAAGATTCAGCATTTGTAATAGAGTAGCACATCTGTTTCCACATTTTAAAATATCACTGCTGACACTATTTTTAAAATATGCTCCATATCAGACTTACTTAATAAAAGCTTCAGTTATGGAAGCTCCAGGAGAATATACATAAATTCACAGATTTCATTTAAAGATAATAGACTACTGATCTAAAACTTTTTTTTTCTGTTTGATAAATAACAAAAGCATATTTCTTCAGATTTTGTACTTCATTTAAACTGAAAGTACAAAACACTGACTGACCAGAGCTCAAGTGCTGCCTGATGTTTTGCTGTGTACTGTCTTTCATTTGTATGGCTGTATTATCTCGTAAGGTTTGAATGCTTCTTCAGCTGCTCAAACTTCAGTTCTCGCTGGAGTAAGAGCTTACAGGAGGAGATCTGTAAATCATACAGATTTTTATAGCAAAACATAACCCTTCACCAGCATCCCAAGTAGGACGTATTGCTACATACATTATGAAGCTGGCTGAAGGTTACACCTTAATTTATTATTTTTTCCTTTTTTTAAAATTTTGTTTTGTTTTGTTTTTGTTTTGCTGCAGCGCTGCATAGTAGACTTGGTTACCCCCCCCATTGAGTCTGGCCTGCTCTCGTTCCCGTTTAAGGCAAAGTACTTGCAGTTATTTCAGTGGGGATGGTCGGAGCTCCTGATGGTGCTTTGCTGCCCTGGTGTGTATCTTCCATAAGGCATAGACTGTCTTCGCAGTGGTCTGGCTGGGAGAGGAATCCCGTGTCTCTCACAGGTGCAGGAGGAAGGAGATAGCTTTTCTGAGCAAGACATCTTGATGTAATCCCAGAGCACTGTTAGTTTATGCTCAGAGATAACATGCATGACCGCATAGAGAGGCATGGCCATACTCATTCGCACGCAGAGCTTTCTGGATTATTTTGGACAGCATATTAAACTCTTGGTTTGAGCACGAGTTTAAAAGCTTCAGATCCAAGAAATGGAGTTCGTAGGTTGTATTTCAGAAAAAAACATAAGCATATGCTGAAACGTTTTGCTAAATCTTAGCTCCAGTCACATAAAATAGTTAGTGCTCACTACAACTGAGAGCCATGGGAATATTTCTTTCTAATATTTCTATTTCTTTCTCTGTGCTCCAAAACCCTAAGTAAGCTTGTAGTGTATACTGTACATGTATGTTTAAGGACACATACAGATTGTGAGCATGTGTATAAATACAATCAAGGTATGCATACAGAGAGACATGACATGCTAATGGAAAAGAGAAAAAAAAAATCAAATACTGTTTATCCTTCCGTAGTATTTTGAGGGGGCCCAATCCTGTTAGGTCCTGAACAAACTCCGTTCATGTTGACTTCAATGGGAGGGAAGAGCTCCCAGCAGCTTGCCAGATCAGGCCCAGCAGGAGCAAGTATAGGTATGACCAGTTCCTGCCTATACCTGCTCTCCAGTCACCCCTCTGGTATGATATAAATTACACCTGACAGCAGGCAGCGTGATACATTTCTTATTGTAATGTGTTAGGATTGACTGTGCGCAGCCTACTTGGCTGGCTCCGCTTGTCTGTTCCCAGGTTACAAGGTTGGCTCTGATTTGGGGAGAGAACAGACCCAATTCTGGAAGTCTTACTCACGCGAGTGAATGGCTGGTGATGTGAAGTCAGAGGCCAAATCTTGCATTTCGGTGATCCCAGAGTTGTTTCAGAGCAACTTTGACAAAGCCTTTGATGTTGTTTGTATTAGTGCAGCTGCTGTGAAAAGAGCATTTGTCCATTGATTAAATTTGCATAAGTAAAGGGTGCCATATTAGGCATTAAAGGGGGTAGACACCCTCTTTTCAGTAAATTTTTATGGGCTACATAAATTCTCTCACCTAAAAGGGAGGAAGCTTGAGTAGTGCACAACTGGTGTGACAAAGAAGAGAGTTAAACAGCCGCTGCCAAAGATGGTTTCTGAGCCACTCACAGTCACCTTACGTGCTACTCTTACACACCTTTCCAGTTGCCTTTTTGAATGAAACACCATACAAGAAAGCTGGCCTGTCAGAGGGTGAAAGGCAAGGAAAATGAGAAACATACAAAAGAAACTGTGATCAACAACAGCATAATGACAGTGGTCATGGAAATTGTCTCAAATAAGATTATTAGTCCCTCTTCCTATAGCTACTTGAGGCTGCTTTTTGCACGTACTCAAAATTGCCATTAAAGTTAACAAGCTTTGGAGGTACAAGGAGGCTGATGTTGTCTTACCTGGATCCAAGGCTCAGTTTGATTAGTTTTATTTTCAGCAAGTTCTCCCACCAAAACTCCCAACTCTAGTAGATGTGAGTTACAGGTAGAAGAAGAAAAAAACCCAAAACACCCAAACCAAAAAACTCAGTTGACTCTTACTATCAACATCTTATTTCTAAAGTCATTTTTCTACTTAGCCAGTTATTCATCTTTGTGAGCATTTCCTCCAGAAATTTCATTCATGTTTTCACCCAGAGGACCTCTAAAGCAGCTCCTTCACACATTGACACTTGAATATGGATTTATATGACAGATCGTAAAGGCCGCAAAAGCTCTAGCACGTCTATAAAGTGAGTTGCAAATTGTATTTATCCAAGGGAGTGAGACAGTTCCTACATTTAAAAAACAAACCCACACCAGAAGTCCGAGCTCCTAACGTGCAGTCAGGAATACCCAAAGACGTTACCAGATCCTCCATACTCAGTAGCAGACGTCTCATTGACTTCAAGTGGAAAAGAAGTTCCCAATCCCCATACAGCCCCAGCTTCTCGATTTCAAAGGAAAGTTTGATACCACTTTGAATTTCTGTTACAAAGCAGAAGAAGATTTTCCATCAGAAGCCTGTTCTTGTCACAGCCCTGAATAGTGTTTTTAACTCGGAGACTTGCTGTGAGCTCTTTGTGAGTTGTACTGCTATAAAAGGTAAATGTGTTTACCTTACATTCTTAGTTAATTAGTGTTTATTGTATAACCCTCTATTAAAGATAAGTATGCTCTTTTGTTCAAAATGTATTTATAAAAGCTCGTGCTTTCCGTGGTGTTAGTCATGTGACAAAAGGGAGCAGGAATAATTTTAATTGAAGCGACAACATCTAGGTGGGAATGGTGTGGGTGCACAGACCCCAGGGAGCCTCCCCCAGACAGTTTGCAGCACGCTGCATTTGGGACCTCTCTGCTGCCAGACTTTCCTCTTCAGGAAAGCGGAGCTTTTTGGCCCTGCGGCCCAGGGCATGCTGAGCCAGTGCTAACATAATGCATGTCCTGATCTCAGCTTTTGGGGCACCTGAGCTTTACCACCCCCTTCTCTGGAGACTCTGTCCTCCAAAGAAAGCCAGCACAGGCTTTATTAACTGATTCAGACAATAATGGCCTTAGCTGTTCAAGACATAGTAGAGTTTTCCAGGCATATCCCTGCCTAACTTTCCTCTGAACCCATGAACTTTCTTGGTGATTTATAAAGGAGTCCTGTAAAGCACGTGTTGTCTTCTCCTCTGAATGTTTCTTGTCAAAACAAACTGTCATTCTTGTATAGACCCACCCTCAGACAAGCTCTCCTACCAAGCATGACCTTCTGAT